TGTTGCAAATGAGGGGTAATTAATTTTTCAAATAACTTTGGAATTGCCGACAACTTAGAGATGCCTCTGTAGTTGGCAGCCTCGGACTTTTCCCCTTTTTATGTAGGGGAATTATAAATGATTCCTTCCACTTAAGGGGAAAAATCGAGGTTTCCAAAGATAAGTTGAAAAGTCTTAGAAGAGGTTTGCACAGAGCCCTGGCGCAGTATTTTAGCACACAGCCTGGTACTCCGTCGGGGCCTGGCGAATAAATGGGTTTTACCCTTAAAAGACCAGATAATAAGTTGTTCTCAGAAAAAGACGGACAGAAAATAAGATTTGCTGCCTGAATGTTATATGCATAAGGCTGATCAGTCAATTTAGGGGGAGAATAAGTTGTTTGAAAAAATTCTGCGAATAGATCGGCAATGGCCTGATCCGAAGTCGCAGAGGAATTTTCAAACATAAGCAGAGGTGAAAAAGATACGTGTTTACGCTTAGTGTTTACAAAATTATAAAACTGCTTTGGATCCTGAGTAAATTGAATCCGGCAGCGGTCAATATAATTCCTATAACATTCAGCGTTATGCACGGTAAAATTCGACCGAGCTAGTAGGTATCTTGAGAAATCAACACTACTGCAGGTTTTTTTATATTTAATTAAAAGCTTATTTTTTTTATTTTTTAGGTTAGTGAGGGACCTTGTATACCAAGGAGGATTTGTTGAAGCGGACGGATGTTTCCAAGGCACACATGAGTCAAAAAATGTATTTAAAGTAAAATAAAATTTTTCTAAAGTGACATTAAGATCAGTGCACGCCAGAATATCAGACCAGTCAAATGTATCGATAAGGCTATTAAGTTTTTGAAAATCAGCTTTACGGAAACAGCGAATCTTATTTACCACGCTCGGAGACATCTGATCGATACCAGGAGTGGTTTCGATTGAGACCTCCAGTGTGGGGTGATATGGATCCTCTGGGGATGAAAGGGGAAAAGCTCTGGAGAGAGCAGTACCATCAGGATCAGATATAAAACACAAGTCTAAAAGCCGACCTAGCGAATTTCTAACATGACTGATCTGACCTAGGGACATGTCAAACATGCCCGCGGTGAAGTCATGGTAAGTTATAAGTGACAAAGATGGTGAGTTATCGACGTTGGACCACTTTAATTCTGGGATATTAAAGTCGCCCACCGCTACGAGTTGGTCACGATCCGTCATAAGATTAGAGACGTATCGAATGGCGGACAAATGCTGCCAATATGTAGGCGGTTCCGACATAGGAGCAGGGCCGTAGCTAGCATGAGGCAGGTGGGGCGGTGCCCCAGGGCCCCCGAAAGGCAGGGGCAAAAGACTTCCGTATAGGGCCCCCGAGGCTCTAGCTACGGCCCTGCATAGGAGGTATATATGAACATGTAATGTATAAAGCTTTAACGGACATAGTGATTTTAACGCAAATAAATTCTATGTCACCAAACTCATGGGATTTCACCTCTTCAGAAGCAAGAGTCGAGTCTACCGAAATGAGGACTCCACTTCCTCTTCGCTGAGATCGATCCCGTCTAAAAGTGGTGTACTTACTTGGAAAAACTTCGGAGCTAAAGATCTCCGGATTTAACCAAGTTTCTGTCAATGCTATTATATGGGATGCAAAGAAAGAACTATCAGAATATAGCTTTGGGAGTTTGCTACGTAGCCCCCTAGTATTCTGATAGGTAAGAGTAAGTGAGAAAACTAGTTTTTTGGGTTAGTGGCCAAAGAAGAGGTGGAGGGTTGGTCAGTGGTTCCGATATTGGGAAGTCTCACTCCTACTGGTTTTTTAACTTTTTTCTTCACGGAACTAGGCTGATGTTCTTGGACGAAATGATTCTCTGGCCAAAAACTGGGAGAACAAATCGTCTTGAACATCAGCGCGGGCACACGAATCTTGAAAGAAGACGTGCGCCGTGTATAATTATATTTAAATTTAGTTATGTCCTCCACCTTTATATCGGCTTTTGTTTTGGCTTTGATATAAGCCGAGATATCAATGTCTGAAGTATCAGGGGCAAGCCGAGAAACAAATATATGTTTCGATGGAGGAATCACCTGTAAGGGTTTTGGTGTCGCAGGTACGAGAACTGCAGCATCAGTCCGTGCCGGTGGTCCGGACTGTGGAATACTCTTTTGGGACAATTGCTCATTATCCCTGAGAAATTCGGACGAATTTTTCTCAGTTCTAGCCCTTGGGGTGGCCAGAGATATGAGCGGCTGCATTAATGTCGTCTGAGCAGGCTGAAGCGGATCAGAAACAGCGGATTTCTTACGCTTAGGGGACTCATTTAGCAGCTGAAGGCCACTAAACTGAGTGTCCAGCGCACAGAGCTGTTCATTGATTTTACGAAAACCAGTGATCAGCTCTTTAAATCCATTTTTGGTCTGTGTCATGAACGACCTTATTTCGCCTTGCACAGCACGACAATTCTCACAACAATAATGTATCCCAGACCTACGGGAAATGGCATCCGAAACTGATGCAGTGAAACCGGCACACTTGGCGTGCACGACGTTTTCACATAACCAGCAATGGATGCTAGGCTGGGATGTGGAAATTGTCTTGTTACAAGACTTAATGGCACAGACCAGTTTAAATTCCATTTTATTTATTTATTTTTTTTTTATTTAATAAAACAAAAATTAATATTTAAAAAGTTAAAAAACACAATACCTTGAACCACTGTGCCAAACAAGAAGCCGAAGCGGGAGCTTTGAAAGAGTGCAAAAGAGAAATGCAGAAATATAGATAAGCCGGGGAAGAAGCAGAGCTGAGCTATGCTTGGAATAGAATTTAGGAAAATTATTAATTCGACTCCAAATATACCACAGCACTCGCGAAGCGATACGGTTTAGGCTTTAAGATTGTTAAGATTCACAAGATTTAATTCACAAGTATGTAAACACCGGCTTACCAATATTTTTAAAAGAACGCAGTGCGCACAAAAAAAACACGACCGTTCGCTTGAAAAAAAGGAACTGACTATGAACTGATTATTTTGGGTGCGGGCAGTAAATCCCCTCTGGTGGATGCGACTTTTCAGCTCCTTATAAACTGGGCAACCTCTATAGTTAGCAGTGTGATTTCCACCGCAGTTGCCGCACTTTTTCGAGTTTTGGTCATCTTTGCTCGCTGGGCAGTGTGCGGAGTCATGAAGCTCACCACAAACTACACAGACTGGGCGCAGTTTACAGTAAGACCTTGTATGGCAAAATTCTTGGCAGTTCGCACATTGTACCGGGCCATTGCGTTTGTGCGGCTCCTCAACTGTAATTCTGCGGTGCAGCAGGAACTGAAGATTGTATTAGGGTGCACTTCGTATTTCTTTAGGGGCTTAATTTGTGGTTCGAGCTCAACCTTAAAGAGTGGCTGCGGCTTTCTATCCCTGTTAGAGATATTGAACACTGTCTTAGCGCTAAATCCCTTCTCTTGTAGCGCCTTTGTTATCTCTGCAGGCGATACTTCGGGCTCTATGTCCTTAAGTACGACTTGCAAGCTCTTGCTGCTTTTTAGCTGATACGTATAAAAGTTCTTTTTTTTGTCGGTGAGGTATTTCGATAATACTCTGTAATTATCTTTAGACTTCGTTTGAACTTTTGTTTCCTGGATGTTGCCCTTTACGAGTGGTATTATGTGGAAGTTGTCCTTGCCAATGAGCTCTATAATTTTTTTGACAAGAACGTTGGAACTTTTTTCTCGTATGTATATTGGCGGGGGCTTAGGCTTCCTTTTTTCGACTTCTGTAGATTCGGCGTCATCGTCATAGTCTGCCCAGATTTTAAAACGGTTTGAGTTCGTGGGCGTTTCTATTGTGGCTATGTTAGCATTGCCACGGGTTATTTTGCGTTGAGAGTTTAGGGGGCTCAGCTTCCTTTTGATTTGGATGTAGCGATCCATACCAGTCTGCACAGCCGGCTTAATACTTTCTTTGTTTTTGTTCTCTTTTTCGGGCAGCACAGCGGCAGAAGTATCAATGTTTGCGCTGCTAGCTGATGACGTCGTTAAACGCGCTGTCTTTACAGTAGCGGTTGTGGTTGTTGGTACGGTTGACGTTGTCAGAGAGACATCAGAGAGACTTGTCAGAGAGACTTTGGCTGCAGAGACATCGATGGTAGCGCGCTTTCACGCTCTCTACGTTTAAGAATTCGACCAAGTTTGGGGTAATTGACCGTGTTTGGGATGAGCTTGCATTACTTTCGGTTGCTTTGAAAGTGAAGTAAGCGTTGTTTCTTTGTACTGAGAGCCGTCTCTCGTCTTGCTCACGTTGACGTTGTGTGCTAACGTCGTTTAGACTCATTGCAATCGAGGTTGATATTGTTCGAGTTTTAAATGTTATGTTTTATATTAATTAATTAATTAATCAATATAAACATTAGCGATTTCATCTCTGAAAGCGTCTTTTCGCGTTGTTGTTGATTTACGAAACCAGTCTATCCGCAAACCGTCACTGCATTTTTTTTTTTTTTTTTTTCATTTGACACGAATACACCGACCATCAGGAGCTGGACAGGCAGAAAAGGAGACAGAGCTAAGAGAGTTGCATCACATCCATAAAGTGTACTGGCTAAATTCTTCCAAGCCCAATTCAACTCAAAAATCTAAACTGAAAAAAAAAACGTATTAAAAAAAAGAATGCACCAGGTTGACTGACTTATTATCCCTTAAAAATGGAAATAGATCTTCGGAACTGGACAAACTTCTCGACCGTATGTCGAAAGCGAATAAAAACGCTTCAGGAGGCAGCCCGCTTTTTTTTTGTTTGTTTACGAACACTTGCTAGTCGTTAAACTAGTAAATGTGTCCAGCTTACATAAACAAAGTATTTAAAAAATTAAATAAAACAGGTTTATCAGGTGTGCCACAGATATCTCTTCCGCTCGAAAATGTCTTATTTTCATTCACAGTCTATTCCACTTACAAATTTTCAGCTGAATGAAATGATTCTGTTGTTGGGGGGAGCGTTACCCAATTTTTCAATATTCATTAATCTACATTTTTTTTATTTATTATTTACATTTATTTTTTAGTTGCATAATATTGTAATTGTGGAGATGTTATTAACTAATTACAAGGTAATTTTTTTGTTTGGGTCCCAAATTTGGAATGTTTTTTTACCTTAATTTAATTAATTTAAATACCAAAAAAAAAGCAGGAAGGAAAGCTAACTTTGGACGGAGCCGAAAGGGATACCCTTTGCGGTTAAGATCAAAAATATAAGGCAAACTTCGGTTAAAATTGTCCTATTCCGGCCATTCCGACTTATATCCGTGCAAAAGAAAGAAGAAGGTGTGCAGTTTGAAGTGGATAGTCGAACTGAGGGACAAGTTTGCGTAGAAACAGACAGACACACGGACATGGCAGTATAAATCAAAACAGATGAAGAATATATATACTTTATAGGGTCGAAGAAGTCTCCTTCACTGCATTGCACACTTTTGACCAAAATTATAATACTCTGTAAGGGTATAAAAACTTATAAAAGTTAATGAAGGTAAAATTAAAAACCATTGGTTCTGCAACGATAAAATTAGAAAAGTTAGTCATCAAACATTTGGGAAATTTAATCTTACAAGGTGACAGTCCTGACAAGAGAGGTTCGAAATATGGTTTTAACATGCCTAAAACCCTTTAAATGTTTAGATTCTGTATCACGGCTGAAGTTCTCAAGAGGAATTACATCCAGCTGAATCGATTCCGCTGCGGATTCTTTGGCACCCTTGTATAATATTATTTGCATATACTTCTATATTTGTGCGTATCGCCTAAGACTTTGCATACTTCCGAAAGTAGGTCTTTTAAAATAGAGGCCTGTCGACCTTGTGACCCATCTATTGTTACGGTCGGAATAAAAGTAATGGCTGGCCTTAATGCATGTGTCGTTTCTCCATTCAGTTTTAGCAATTCCAATCCATGATCGCTGTCAAAACATTTTTGTATGAGGTAAATGTTTTTAAAACTATGCTGTTTAGCGCACTGAAAGAAAAAGATTTTAATAAGAATGTGTATCATTCATTAATGACGAAAAAGAAAGTAAAGCTAACTTCGGGCCGAGCCGCAGTTGATTTGCTCTGATCCGTCAGTTATACGATCAGTATTGTTGCAAATCAAATTAGATTAAAATAGCCAGTCCTTTCTAACTTAAAAAACATACGGATAATAATAGTAATAATACGCATAAGAAATATTATTTTAAGTCTTAAAAGTGTTAAAGAACACTAATATTTATTAAAAATTTGAAATTGATAATTGAAATTTACCATAATCCAGTGGGAAAAACGACCATAGGTAAACGAAACTATCGTATAATGCTCGTAAACAGACTTATAAGGGGATTCCCTTTGAGACCGATGTCGGGCTATCGACGAAACCTTCGTGAATTCGCTGTAAGCCCTAGACGAATCATGGGCGAAAATATTTTTTATTTTCTGTGAGTCCGATGTTAGACTATTAATAAATTCACTGTCCTTGACCTTGTTTACTTGAAATCCGAATGGTAATTTGTTTGAGAACCCTTCTCGGATACAAAATCGGTCGTTTTCTTCGCTTGAAGCTTATTGTAGCTTCACTTGGTTGGTTGGGTACTTATTTTATAAATCAGGGAGCAATAATACAAATCTCGTAAGATATTCAAAAATGTTTTATCGTTTTGGGATCCGAAGTAACACTCGTTAGGAGTACTGTTTCTATGCGATGCGGAATTCACGCTTTCACGATTTCAGCCGATTCGATTGGGCATAAACGCCATTTTGTAAATTCGGCAACACGAAACATGACTATGGAAATTTATTTCCAGGTTCTTATTTGCCGATTGTAAATGAAAATTTTATTTTTATCCATCGCGTTGCTTGGTTTGTTTACTTTTTGTGAAAGTCTAACCTGACTAAAATACCTTATTTTGTACGGCTGTCATCTCTACTAAAATGAAATCACGAAATGATATGTACCACATAAATAGGAAATAATTTCTATATCACGCTTTCAAGAGTTCGTGATTGCCATCGCATAAGCATAGTAAGAGTTAACCCTTTCTACTTGTCAAATAATAATAATATACAGAAGTGTCTATAAATTTTGTCAATTTGTCAAAAATTAACCTTTTATTCGGGTTTTGAATTAAAGGGTCTTAATCAAAGATTAACCGTTATTTTTGGCTCAAAAAACAGGTTACGATCAGGTTACTTTATGACCGTTTTGCTGCAGAAACATAAAAACATTTGGTTGGATCCCAATAGGCACACAGCCCAGTCATACGTCAAGGATCCTCTATCTTGTTGGCTGGCAGCCAAGTGAACGAGGGCACCGCGCATACGACGCGAGCGAGACTGGATCAGGAACTATTCGCTGTTCGTCACATACCTGCGTGCATACGAGCTACAGGATCTGTTGCAAAACGAAAATTTCTACAACAATTTGCCAACAGGAACATGTTCGAGAAATTAACAGCAACATTAAATCCAAAGCTTCAAGCAAGTTCAAATATAAACCAAGAAGCAGAAAACTTAAAAAAAATAATTTTATAAAGCGCCAATGAATCTATTCCCTTATCTTCGGTTACTAAATCTGAACACAATATCCCCTGGTGGAACCATAAGCTAGCTCTTTCTCGTAAATGAAAACAAAAATTATTGCACAAATTAAAAAACAATATTACAACTGAAAACTTAATTAACTACAAAAAAGGCCAATTCATTCTTCAAAAGAGAATTAAAATTAGCCAAAAATGCAGCTATGTACGACTTCATATTAGATACAGATACACATCACATGTACATAACCAACCTCCATCCCTAAGATGATTGGAATAACATCAGAAGATTTTGTGGCCTAAAAAACCCGCCTATTATAGAGAAAAGAGATGTAGCAATCGAATTTTGGACCCTCTGGTCTAAAAACTCTGATGACTCTAACTTCGATAGCAGCTTTCTCGCAAATAAAAACTCCGCACTAAACAATATTGATCCCTTAACTTATCCAATAGACAAAAATGCAACTCTTATTGAAGAAGAATTAAAAGCCCTATAAATTTTAAACAATTTGACAAAAAGCAACCTTTTATTCGGTTTTTGAATTAAGGGTCTCTGTTTGGTCATTGAGAGTTTTCAATGCCGGGAAATGCAGAATTTAATTATTTTACGTTATATTTTATTAGGCCTCTTGGTCGGCTACAAATCACTCTTTACCCTTGACGAACTCTGCTCCGGATCCTCGCTGCATCTTCTGGATGAAACTGGGATCAACCATTGTGATCATCCAGTTTATGGTACTAAGCAGTGACTATTATTATGGTCAGAGAGTGCGGCTTGACTAGACATACGCGAAAATAGGCCCGTTGAAGTCGAGCGGCCGAGTCGGCTTGCGACCAACTAAGGCGATATATCCATACTTTAGCTTAATAAATAAACTATAACTAATTTAGCGGCTGCTGCCTGACCCGACAATCTCAATCAAAGATAAACCGTTATTTTTGGCTCAAATTCGATCAGGTGACTTACTGACCGATTGGCTGAAATCTTTTAAAATAAAAATATCTTTTCGTTTTGATCAACAATTTTTTCCTCTTGTTTCTTTTACCTTTGTTTCTTGTATCTTTTAGAGCTACTCTCCGCTTTCCCAAAATTTTATTGTTTACGAATATGTTTGAAAGTAAAAACACAAAAGACCGTTTGAAGTGAGAAATTTATATTTTCGGTCTTTCGAATAATCTCAGTGTATGAGCACTTGATTGATTGGGTCTCCGTAAATTATTTTTGACAGAGCTTTAAAAATCTAAATTCATTTTAGAAAGCTCAACCGCAAACTGAAATAAATTAAACCAAAGGGGTTTTTTCAGAGAGGTCAATTAGATGAGATAAAACTAGATGTCAAAAACTCTTAACAGTTATTTCCAAGCTCTGCTTGGTGCACGTTTAATTTTCGCCTAACTCTAGTTTTCGATCTTTTTTGAAGTTTTGGTTCTCTAGGTATATAGCTATCGACTTAAAACTGCGCACTCACCCCTGTTCCCTCTGCACGCAGTAAAGAAGTTGGAGCGGCCGAAATTGAAACGAACTGTAGCTAGTTAGCTTTCGTAGCTAGCTCACAGAGTTTGTAGGTTCCACCGAATTTATTGTTTGACGTAATTGCCCGAGCCCAGAAAAAAATACAAATAGCATATACACTTTATAAAAACCTTTATTATTAGGCCTCTTGGTCGGCTACAAATCACTCTTTACCCTTGACGAACTCTGCTCCGGATCCTCGCTGCATCTTCTGGATTTCCTCGCGGCTCACATTCACTCACCAGCAACCGTTCCGGGTTCGTCGCAAGCATACGCCGGGGAGGATCCGCTGTCTTGTTGCCTAATAGCTGGTTCACTACGATTGGACTCTCGAGCTTCTTCTCTGGCTTCCGCTGCGCTGCTTGAACTGCTCCTGTTGTCGCTGCTGCTGGTCCGTCGCCGTCGATGGTTGCTTTCGTTACTGTTGCTTCTTGTAACCCGCTGTCTGTTGATTATTGAGGGCTTTCCTACCTTTTCGCACGAGGGCTTTCCTACCTTTCGGAACACACACTCGGTTCGCCTGACACTGGTCGTCACACACCTACGCGCATACGCGCTACAGGACCCGTGATGGGCTAATGACGCGGGCGTCGCGTCTCGGCTACACCTGGAACACACCGCGCATACGCGCTAGCGAGTCTGGATCAAAAATTGTCCGCTGGTCGTCACATACCTTTGCGCATACGCGCTACAGGGTCCGTGATGGGACAAGGACCGGGTGTCGCGCCTCGCTACTCGTTTCGTTACTCGCTTCGTGCCAAGGCTACCTGTCGTTGTCTGGAATGGCCCAACTCGTCTATTATACCATGGAAAACGCTCTAACACTTGAATGTCGGACTCTCCAAAGGCGACCCTACTCCAACTCAACGCTACAAGCTTTCTTAAAGACTTGTCTCGATTCGCTCCAATGTACCTACTTATATACTGCTTGGAGCGCCCGTTAATCCTTCTGGATTCTAATTTTACCGTTTATTCAACCTTCCAGAATCACTCCACATTCCCATTGGCGGGTTGCCGTCCGTGCCTCCTCGCCTCTCCCGGCCACGGAACTGTGTTGCTATGCGGGGCTCCGGCGGAGCACTTCCAGGGACCGCTACGCTTTGCGTATCACATATTCACATATATATTCGATCACAACATCAAAGGTATATCAAATTTAGCTCCTCCTGAAGTTATCTTCTTTTTTTGTTCTTTATTTTGTACAGATATATTTAAAATTTATATCAGCGACCTACAAAAACATTTTAAGTGGTGTCCTTTAGCCGGACCTTTTTGTGACAAACCAGTTAAAAAAGTTGTCTAATCGCGATGGGTTTTGATGTGGTTCCAACACAAATATATTTACATGTAAGACTTATATTTATTAAATAAAAAACTTCTTAATGAGGTAATAACCGGCGACAAACCGGCATGCGTCACCCAAATATTTTATATCCCTTTAGATGACAAAAAATTCAATAACGGTCACGAGTATTTACCGTACGTACAATTGCGGTAGTCTTATTATTCTTGAAGCAGCACATAGATAAGCGCCGAACGAAGACATCAGCGATAATCAATCAATTCCAAGAAAGAGTCGCTCTGCAAGCGGTTGTACAGTTGAGCCAAACACTGCGCCTAGTTCTGATACGCGAAAACCGGTCTTCCAAAATTACGGGGCCGCCGCAAGGAGTTTGGATTCTGGAAACCTTCCACTTTCTTGCTACTGGAAAATGGAAAAAAGCGACGTTTCTTACACTAGCGGGAGCCCGAACATTAATGAGGTGCTAGTGTCGTTAGTCAGTGATTCAAAATTGACAGATGTGTATGACATATTAACATGTCACTTGGCGCCCCGAAAATCGGACATTGCTGCATTCTACCATTTCCACCAGCGTGATCAGCACCCGGCGAGTCTGTCGGTAACTGTATGGCCGCATTAAGGCACATGTTAGA